CTTACTCCAGCACCTTTTTCTTCTTTTCCTTCGCAGGTCTTCGATCTTTGGAGTCTACCTGCGACCCACGTGCGCGCGTACGATTCTCCACCTGCCCTTCCTTCCTTCCTTCCTTCCTTCCTTCTTTTCATTTGCATGTCAAGTTATTTAGCAATCGACGCCCGCTTGGCCATAGGCGAATTACGCAAAACTGGAGAAAAAATCTTTTAGAAATGCTCGCTCTATGCAATTTTGTGATCTAAAATCGTTAAAGCGTGCAACAAAAATCCTTTCCTCATATTCTTCTTTCTCTTTTATCATTACGTTTCATCAATTGAGAAGTCGATTATCTCGCAAACCTAGCATGCGTTCGTCTCGACGATCGAGAGAGAATTTTATTTACGACCCATACAACCCCATACGAGTAATTGATATTTAAGGATGAGAACAGGTCGATAGATAGGGTTAGAGAAAATGCGACGAGTTCTATAAATAAATGTGATCGATGTATCCCGAAACAAGATTTATATTCCTCCTAATCTAAAAAGGTGCTCGTGTTCTCGCGTAATTTCCTTTCTGTCTTGCGACAAGTAATAAATCGAATAATCAAAGAAAGTTCGGTATACGTTCTTCTCATTGAATGACTGATCGAGAAAACCACACAAGTAATTAGCGAATGTATCTGCACAAATGATTTGCAAGTGATCCTAAACCAAGTTAGAACAAGGACGATATAAGTTGATTTATCGTTAAAAATCTTTTGTTTCGTCCCAAGGAGAGATTATAATGAAACATTGAAATCGGTTCAAAGGATTCATCACGTACGTGAAATATTTTTTCATTTCGACGACAATGCGAGTAATATTTTCGTGACCATTCAAACGATGGTCTAATTAGATTAAAAGAAAAAGCTAGACGATTAACGAACTCTCGGGTAATTACGCTTTAAACACCTACGAGACGATCGACCTCGAGCGACTCTCCCTTTTTCTCTCTCCCTTGCGCGTTTTAGCAACTATGCAAGAGTCCCTTTCTCGTAGTTAAACCGCGACCAATCATGGTTATGTTTCGCATCGGCTCGTATCGATGTCAAGATTATGCTACAGCATGCGGCCCCGAAGAGACGAGGACGTCCGTGACATTGTCGCGTTATGCAAGGACTCCTCGCCGAGGGCGCCATTCGACTCGGAGCAGACGTGCGTGACGAGCGTGGAAGGACACGCGTCTAATAGTCAGTCGCGTCTGTCGAACTTGTCTTTCACGAAGAGTTTCGAGAGACAAGAGACGCGATATGTGCTTTATACGACGAGAGAACGAAACATTTTCGTCGTTAGCCGCTGCACAACGATAGAATATTTTGGATTTTCGAGAGAGAGAGAGAGAGAGAGAGAGAGAGAGAGAGAACTTGGTTCGAGATAAAAGGTGACGCCTTCTCGGTCTCTCTTCAGTCGTCGGCACACAGAAGGAGAGAGTGAACTGAATGAAAGAGTATGTGTGCGTGTTTGCGTGCGTGCGTGCGTGCGTGCGTACGTGCATGCATACGTGTGTGTATGCGTGCGAGAAAGAGAGAGGGAGGAGGGAGGAAAGGTGAGAGAGAAGAGTGGTTCACCTGCATTGCTAGCATTGCGCCGGCTCAAGGCCAGAGTCTGAAAGAGAGAGAGAGAGAGAGAGAGAGAGAGAGAGAACCGAACGGGTCGAGAGCTCCTCCTTCGTCTTCTGCTTCTTCTTATTTTCCTCCTGTTTCTCCTTTTTCTCGTTGCGTCGACGTGGCTCGTCGACGAGCCGGCCATTATTCCCTGGGCCGGGTCATTTTCTGGCTCTACCTTGAAAACGCAAAGGGTATCCTCTAACGCTCACACGATTCTTCTTTTGATTGCAGGCTGCAAGATCAAGGCTCTGCGGGCGAAAACGAACACGTACATAAAGACGCCTGTACGTGGCGAGGAGCCGGTGTTCGTGGTGACCGGACGTAAGGAGGACGTGGCGCGCGCCAAGCGCGAGATCCTCTCCGCGGCGGAGCACTTTTCGCAGATCCGAGCATCGAGGAAGAGCACGTTGGGCGCGCTGCTGGGTGCACCGCCCGGTCCACCGGCCTCGGTGCCGGGACACGTGACGATCCAGGTACGAGTACCGTACAGAGTAGTAGGTCTGGTGGTAGGACCGAAGGGAGCGACGATCAAGAGGATTCAACATCAGACGCACACGTACATCGTGACGCCGAGTCGCGACAAGGAGCCAGTCTTCGAGGTTACGGGCCTCCCGGAAAGCGTGGAAGCTGCGAGACGCGAAATCGAGGGACACATCGCCCTTAGAACGGGCACCGGTCTGGCCGAGGAGGATCTCTTGGGTGCTTTGTGCCGTGGCGGCCTCGGCTCGATCCTCGGCTGTCTCGTACCACCAGGAACAACGCCCTGCAACGACTCCAATTCGAATTCGAACGACTCCAGCGGCGGCTTCTCCTCCAGCGGCAGCTGCAGCAGCTCCTCCAGCAGCTCCGGAGCACCGGGACTACACGATCTCGTAGCGATATGGGGAGCCGGCCTCGAGAGAGACGAGGGCCTCGGCGAGTCGCCCTCCTTCGAATCTCAGGCGGCCTCGGCCTCCTCCATTTGGTCATTTCCCGGCGTAGCGCTACCCTCGAGGCCCTCGCCTCCGGCATCGGCGAGTCCAGCGTCGCCGACGGATTCCCTTTTAGGAGGCGGTAGCGCCGGTGGCCGTCGCGAGTGCGTCGTATGCGGCGACAAGGAGGTCACCGCCGCCCTCGTGCCCTGTGGACACAATTTATTTTGTCTCGACTGCGGCAACAGGGTGTGCGAGAGCTCCACTCCGATGTGCCCCGTCTGCTCCAGGCCCGTTCTACAGGCGCTTCGCATCTTTTCATAAACGGCCGCGTGCGCATCCGAGCGCACCCGAGCACAGCTCCCGCACGCTAACAAGCACGACGGACGCGCACAATCTCTCAATTCCACTGCTGCCAATAATCTCTTTAACGCGCCAGGAACGTTTCGATCTTTCTGATACGTCGTCTCGTTCCCAGTGCCCGATCGGATACAACGAAGTCAGCTTTTAAGTTTTATCACGCAGACAGTAGAGAGCTAGTAAGAGAGAAAACGAGAGATAGATAGATAGATAGAGAGAGAGAGAGAGAGAGAGAGAGAGAGGGTGGGGGGAGAGAGAGAGAGAGAAAGAGAGAGAAATCGTAGATACTCTCATTGTCGTCGCGTCCTTCTCTTCCAGTCTCAATGCGTAACTTTTCGCCTTCGAAAAGTATTGACTTGGTCCTACGCGTATGACCTCCTTCAAGGAACTTTGTCTCCGCTACTCTTCACCAACTATCGGAAAACTTTCGACGGAGAGCTTCTCTTTTTCCTTCGAATAGTTTTATTTATTCTTGACGATCTCGTCTCGGCTTCCATCCTTCTTCGAGCGTTTGAACGAAAATCGTACTCGCTCGGATCTGTTTCACGTTTCGACGAAATTTTCTTTCATTCTCAATAATATGTCGGTCGAGTTAATTAAATAAAATAAATATTTTCCGAGCGAGTTTCGCGAATCAAAGAACGCGTGAAAAACCTTTTCAATGGGACAACGATTAGTCGAGTGTGTGCCATTTTAAACGCGATCACGTTCAACAAAATACTTCTTCCAGTAGCGGCATTTTTCAAAATCGGCAACGTGCCTTCGACGACGACGATATTTAAAAGAAAAAATAATAAACAACATTAACGCCAGAAATCTCGAAATGTTCGATCTCGTTCCGTCGTCGAAGGCACGCGATCGTTATTTCGAGGTTTCACGCGAAATGCTGCGTAGCGAATGGAAATAATTCCGGAGAATGATTATTAAAGTTGAATGCGAAGCGAAGGACGACGTGAGAGTGAGAAACGGAGGGAGGAAGGGAAAGAGAAAGAGAGAGAGAGAGAGAGAGAGAAAGAGAGAGAGAGAGAAAGTAAGAAAGAGAACAAGAGAGAAATATATTCTACGAACGGAGAACGATGCTTACGTGTCTCTCAAAGCGCAACATAGCTCGTACGACGACTCGTAAAACGCGCTTGTTCCACCTGGCATCCCTCGCTACTAAGAGTATTATCTTACATTTATATAAGCAAAATAGCAATTAAAGTAATTATAATAATAATAATAATAATAATAATAATAATAATAATAACATTGATATATTAATAATAATAGTAATAATATTAATATATTAAAAATATATATAAATATATGAATATATATATATACACATATATATATATATATATATATATATATATATGTATGTATATGTATATATATATGTATGTGGTGATCCGACGAGTTCGACGATGCGCGCATGCGCGTACTCGTCGGCCTCGACGAACGCGACGATATTTTATTGAGATGTAGATTTTGTATTTTTCGCGCGTTTTAACGACGGGACGATGGGTGGTTCGATCGAGTTATTACGAGCGTTCATTTAACGAATAACGATATAATAATGTAGTAATATTAATAACATTAATAATAATAACAATAATAGTAATTATAATATTTCTAGTAATAATAATAAGAATAATAATAATGAAAATAAGTTTGAGAGAAAGAGAACAACAGGAGAAAATGAAGCGTAGAGAGGTATCGTAGGCATCGACTTCCAAGCGAGCAAAAAAGTTGGGTATTCGTGATAGTGATTGAGCTTTTCAAATAAGAAAAAGAATTTTTGAAAAATGAATCACATTTTAAGCGTAGACGCGCATACGTAGCTTTTTTTCAAGAGGCATAATTATTATATTACAGTGCATTATATTATATAGACGTATATACGGAAGCTATATGCATATAAACTTATATAGATATATACATATATAATATGTGTCACTATATTGCGCTCTCTCTCACTCTCTCTCTCTCTCTCTCTCTCTCTCTCTCTCTCTCTCTCTCTCTCTCTCTCTCTCTCTTTCTCACTCTCACTCTCACTCTCTCTCTTTTTCTCTGTATCTATCCACTTATCTATCTACTTATCTATCTATCTATCGATATATATATATACCCTCTAATCCTTTGTCTCTCTCCCGCTCTCTCTCTCTCTCTCTCTTTTTCTATCTCTATCTCTCTATCTCACTCTCTCTAACTCTCTCCAAACAAGACGCAATCCCGTTAGGGGAAAAACGAGGGCCTCTTTCGCCCCGAATCTGAATTCGTTCTTTTGATTTCGAGAGTAAACACGCGTCTTTGCGTTCTTTTTTCCGCAACTTGCTTCTTTCTTTCTGCGACTTTGCACGGAAAAGATCGAAAAAAGAAGTTCGATGCAGTCAGTTCGAATTCGTTTCGCGAAAAGAATCAATGATTCACATAATTGACGATTAACCTTTTTCAATATGTTCCGCATACGATTAGCCCTGCGAAAGGAAAAAGAAACGAAGCTTCAACGTCGTTATCTTTTTTCATTTTCCGTCGACGAGAGCCGCTCGTCGTCGAATGTTGCCATTTGTTCATTTTCGCGTCGAACAAAAATAGTGATACGCTTCGGTCGCAGCTCCGAAACACAAGTCGAGATTTCTATATATATACATATATATATATATATATATGTATATATATATATATATATATATATATATATATATAAATAAATATTATGTTGCATATAACGTATATTATATAAATACATACATATGCATATATGTATGTATATAAACACAGAAACACGGGCACACATAAATAGATGTGTTTATCATCCACCGAGGGCGGATAAAAAACGAAGATATATTTTCTAATCGCTCGAGCCGAACACGCTCCTGCTTAGTTTTTCTTCTAACTTTTTGTTCTTCGCTTCGAGGTGTCTTTCTTTATTTTCTAATTCTTTCTTTTTTCTTTTTTCTTTTTTTTCCTTTTACTTTTTCTTTTTTCATTTCTACATAAATCATCTTCGTTCATTTGTCCGCCATGCGTTTTCTTTTCGTATTATATTCGCGATTTATATATTATAACGCGTAGCATCGTTCACTTATATCGTTCTCTTCTTTCTTAATTCTTCCTTCGAACGCGTTCTCGTAACTTATCTAGCTGACGTTTACACTCAAGTGAAGAAAAAATAAAAAAAAAAAAAGGACAAGAAATTTCTCCTTTATTCGTACACGAATACACGCAAACAACACACGTACACGCGCGCACAGATGACCCGAAGGAGACACTCATAGATAGATGAGAACGTTATATTAGACAACCTTGAGACTCCGAACGAATGCTTACACACATGTATACATACAAATACAAAAACTTATATTTATATATTATAAACGACGCTCACATAAGAGAGAAAAAGTTTTATTATATTTAAGTTCGTGGCAAAGCAAATTCTATATTTTTTCTATGTTAAGTATAAAGGAGATTAATGAAGAAAAAAAGAAGAAAACAGAAGAATAAATGCGTAAAGAAAGGTTCTGTGACGACGCGTACACATATATATTATATTATTATATTATATTATATTATATGATATATATATATATATATATACATACATATACATATAAAAAAGATATATTTATAGGTATTCTCTTTAGCATAACTACGTTCCGAATCGCGCGGAATCTCTCTGTCGGTGAGCGCACGCGTGCAAGCACGCGTGCACACGCCGACGGATGGATCTCGTGTGACAGATAATCTATCTTAACGCAAACGCGAAGAGCTCGCTTTGAAAAAGTCTGATCCAGAAATTGAAATACGGTGGTTCTTCGTTTCGAAGGGAAGGTAATCCGCGTTTTAATAGAGATATCGAGATGGAAGACGAGCTTTTTCGTATGATACGCGGCCATTAAGATCGCGCACGCGTTCGTGTATATATTATATCGTGTGCTCTCGAAATACATATATGTAATATATAACAGCAAAAAACACCACACAACACATTCGATCACATACAGATACAGATATTCATATATACGCATAGAGAAGCGTTCGTATATATTACATTTAGGCGAATATGTATGGAGTGACTAGTAGTCGATATAACATATAAAATGAGCGGAAGAATTTACGATTACATCTTATTATTTAACGAAGAAGCGTCTTCAAAAACGAAAGTGAAACGCGGTATTAATTACCGCGGGACAGGAGAAAGGGTAGAGAAAGAAAATAGAACAAAATCTACCGAAGGGAGATCGTAGGAGGCGGTTTATTGGTACGGTTGCCAGAACTCGGAGCGTGGCGGGAAATTCAAAACGTCGACGCGCTTCACGAAGGGTGTCCGAGGGAGAGAAGTAGAGAGAAACAGAGAAATAGACAAAGGAAGAGACGAAAAGAAAGAGAAAATGGAAGAACAACAATAGTACATTGACGCAATAAAGAGAGCCGTTAAACTACAAATTGGGCAACGACTCGTTTGCGTTCACTCTGTCGACAAAAGTGCCGAGAGAGATTATTTCTACCAACGTAAGTTCTCTCGAATGTTTCATTCGATTTTTACTTTGTTTTTTTTTTTCTTTTTTTTTTCTTTTTTTTCTTTTTTTTTTCTCGAAATTTCATCTGTTTTCAAATCAAACAAATCTTTCCGCGCGTTCGAGGGACACTTTGTCGAACGAAATCGATTAAAATTCAATAGGGTTGCGGCAAAACACGAATGGACGAACGGTGTAGTTTTCGACTAACAATTATTCTTATCATTATTGCTATTCCCTATTATTACTACTAACACCATGATGATTATTATTATTTTATTATCTTTTTTTCGTATTATTATTATTATTATTATTATTATCATCATTATTATTACTATCATTATTATTATTATTATTATTATTATTACTACTATTATTATTATTATTATTATTATTTCATTATCTTATTATGTTTTCTTGTATTATTATTATAATCATCATTATCATTATTATTATTGCTACTAATATTACTATTATTAATATTATTGCCGTTACAATAGCACAAAAGGATTGTCGAGAACCTCCGCTAGACTTTGGGACGACTCTGCTGAATTAAAGAAACACATAAACGATACTACGCGCATTATAATCAAGCAGCCTTCACTTTGGCCGAGGTTCTGGCATCGCGTAGACACCGTTCTTGTCGTTTTCGTAGTTCGTAATCGTTTCCTTGCAAAGATAATCTCTCTTTCTCTGGACCCTGTAGCGTTCTAGGTCCCATCTACGGAAAGAGGTATTCGACGAAGGAGAGAAATTCTCGAAATTAGAATGAGAAGACGGAAGGAGGAAGAGCGTTCGAACTTCGTCCTCGGCTCGCGAAATCGTCCTTTGTCGATAAGGAGCGGGAAAGTGAAGAGCGGGAGAACATTCGTACGAACTATTGTGCCATACGTAAATCAAAAGCCTATTTCTCGTCGTTGTTAATGTGAAGTCAAGTTCGAGCCGAAGTTTGCGGAACATTCGGAAATTCCGATTTTCTCCGCAGTGTGTTTTTCCCGCACAGCCATTGTCCTTTCCAAACCGCGAGGGGCCATTTCGCGAATGCAGGATACCGACGTAGGAATGGGCGCACGATCGCGAAAGAGGGCCACGTCTACGCGAGACGTTGTTTAATTTAAAATAATAATAATTAAAAAAAAAAGAAAAAAAAATAAAAAAATAAAAAAATAAAAAAATAAAAAAAACAGAAAAAACGGACAAAAAATGACAAAAAACACGGAGAAAAAAGGGCGAAGGAAGCACGTTAGATGGGAGACCTCGTGACTAAGGCTAAATGAATATAATAACTATAAATGTAAAAATAAAAAGACGTAAAGTTTAATGATTATTAATAGCCCATTGGCTGTGACCGATAACTGCCATTTTCGTAAAGCAAAAGTTAAAAAATAAAAACTAATAAAGCGTGAAGCAAGTCATTAAGAGAAATGAAAACGAAAGTAACACAAAAAAAAAAAGAAAGAGAGGAAGAGAAAAAAAAAGAAGAATCACAGGACGACAAAACTATCGACGCAAAACCACATGCACTTACACATGCACCGTATTACAGGATAGAGAAACTAAAAAGACGGATCAATATGTAGTCTACAGGTAGAAGCCAAGAATGATCGAGAAGAACGTTGAATTTTATTGATGGAAAAGTGAAAGATCTTCGTGAAGCAAGAGAAGGATCGATTTATAGGGCGAAAAAATCGAACGTAGCGTTGACATTTTAATATAAACTGCCTGTAACACCCACTCTTAGCCCCGCCATCCTTCGAATTTCATAATGAGGGGGCAGTAATCGACGCAATGAGAAACGAGAAAGAGAGAAGAAAAAAAATGAAAATAAGTGTAAAGAAAAAGAATAAAGAAAAAAAGAAGAGAAACTATGCGAGGTTAAAGGATGTGAGGCACACACCCACACGACGATACATATCTCAGAGAATAATAACTACACGTAAGGGAGATTAATAGGGATTTAAATAGATGGCAAAGTAATAAAAGGAACTTAAAAAAGAAACAGAGGATGCATATAGAGTTAACAATAATTTAATTATAGAGCTATTGAAACTTATATATACATATATATAAATATATATATATATATATATACATATATATATATATATATATATATATATATACACATAAGTATGAATACGAATATAATTATATATATATACATATATGTATATGTATATATATTTGTATGTATATATATATATATATGCAAATATGTTTATGTATATATATATATAAATTCATATATAAATAAATACATAAACATATATATACACACACACACACACATACACAAAGAGACAAAAAATGACCGTTGTTGCTTAATTTAACTCTATTTACTATATGATTATATTCTATTGAATAGGTATATTCGATTTTTATTATTATTATTATTAAAATTATGATTATATTATAATTAGTTATTATTGTCATAACTATTATTATTAGACCGTATATACATATAGATATTGTATTTAATGTAGCAGTTTTAATTGTGCATCGTAGATCGTATTTTTTGGTACCGGAGCACACCGTCTTCTTCCCTCGATAACTGGCTCGTAGCTTATCTCTTTAGCGCATTTTTCCTTCCCTTTTTTCCTTCTCCTCCTCCTCCTCTTCTTTCTCCTCCTCCTCCTCTTCCTTCTTCTCCTCCTTTTCCTCCTTTCTCCTCTTCCTCCTTCACCTTCTCCTCCTTCTCTTCCTCCTTCTTCTCCTCCTTTTCTTCCTCCTTCTCCTTCTTCTCCTCCTCCTCTTCCTCCTCTTCCTCCTCCTCCTTCTCCTCCTCCTTTTTCTTCTTTCCAAGATGGCATGCGAAGATCCGAGGGAAAACTGTGCGAAAACGGACCGAGTTAAAATCCGAGCAGCTAATTGTAAAAAACGGCTCGCGTTCGAATTTCGATTTCTAGTGCTTTCAACGTGTATACGCTTTTTATCTTCACCTTCTTCTTCGCGTTCGTTTTACCTTGTTCGATTTTTTTCTTTTTTCTTTATCAACCTTTTTTTTATCACTAATTTTCGTTGTTCTTTTTTTTTTTTTTTTTTTTTTTCATTTACCAAGCCAACTTCCACACGTTTCCATTCTGCAAGCTATAAAATGAGTAGTGATCGGATATGAGTGAGAAAGTTCGAATATCTAATATATTATTATATACATGTATATTACAAAAAAAAAATATATATATATATACACACATATAATATAAAAATATATAATAACACGTAGAATATGTTCGTACTTTGCGAATAAAGATATAAGGGCCATGCGTTCGGGGGTGTACCAAGCGGTAATTACGTTCGATCATAGCGTTACGCGAGATACATATACTTGGACACGCATACATATATCTACACATTATGCTCATACTTGGTTCGGAGGCGACGTTCGAACGCCTTACCATGTGAATTTACTTACCTCCACTTAATTAACTTGAATTTTTCTTGATAATGGAATAAGTCGTAATCGCCGATCGAAAAGTAAAAAACGTCGAAAGATCGATTAAAAGAAAGTGGTGAAAAGGTGATCGATTCGTGTTCGATTGAGGCGATTACGACGGTCACTCTCTCAGCCCACAATCTCGATCTCAGAAAAGAAAATGAAGAAGAAGAATAGGAAAAGGATAAAAAAAAAGGGCTCTTTCCACGTGCTTCGACTCGAAAGCGGCCTTTTTTATTTCGTCCTTCCTCTCGCCATCGAAGAGGAATACTCGACGAAGATAGACGAGGTACGAAGGGTCGCCGCCGTCAGCCCTTACTCGAGTATTCTCTCGAAGAACATTCTTCCTTTTTCGTTCCTTCGTCATCGCGAACAGTAAGAAATGAATATTGTCTACTTTATCAGGCACGATCCGAGAATGGCAACCGCTTCGAGACTTGAGAATCAGTATTTCGATATAGATATATATATATAAATAAATATATATTATATATATATATATTATGATTATGATTATGATTATTATTATTATTATTATTATCATACGAATATTATTGTAGCATAAACACCGAAAATCATGACCATCCAAGATCTTTTTTTCCGAGAATGACGTGGAAAAAAAAAAAATAAATACGTACGCATATTGTCGTAAAAACAGATGCAGGATGTGTTGTAGGTGTAAAGGGGTAAAACAGAACATTGATCTCGTGCATTACGACATTATTACGGTGAAATCGAAAAGACATGAAGAGATTGAGTGATTAGGGGTTTGTGTTTCATAGGATTTCGGGTGACGTAAAGATATATTTTAAAGGATTCGTAGGAAAAGGAGTCGAATGTGAGCAACAGGAAAATCTTTGGAAATCTCTTAAGATCTTCCTTGATTAACTGGGTTGCAAGCATACGTATAAAAGCATATACCGCATTATCGTAGTTATCGCATCATTATGAAAATTATTAATATTATTATTATTATGCATTTTTTTAATTATATTATTATTATATTAATTATATTATATATATTGAATGTTGTGCATAGAGCGTTCTTTCAAAATCACTCGTGATGCAACGAGCGAAGATCAATCAAAGGGAGAGAGAAAGAAAAAATGACAACACTATAACGAGAGAACTCTAATATATGTAGCCAAGATATTTTATGTCCAATATGTTATAAACATTGTGTATTTATCATTATTAAGATTAATATTATTCTCTATATTATATTACTATTATTATTATTATTATTATTAATTTTAATATTATTATTGGATCATTATTAATTTTTTAATATTTATCGACAGATCATTTTTGTTTTCTTTTTTTTTCTGAGATATAAAGAAAAGACGCTTTTAAATCGACACATTGTCGACCCGCGCGTCGGCAATGCGGCGAAGATCTCTCTCAAAATCTAGGGTAGCACATGACGCGTTATTCAAGATAGAGAAAAAAAGAAACAAAAAAGGAAAGAAGAAAAGAAAAGGAAAAAAAAACACGTGCACTCTCCGTATATTCTTCTCCTATTCAATCGGTTTCGTTTACTATCTGTATAATATTTCTTGAAACATTGTCGCGTTGCGTCGCTAATGAGATTTTAATCGTGGTTCTCCTTCATTCTCGAGAAGAACGACGAGGCGGCCAACGACGGATCGTCTCGTTCGTGCAACTAACGAGGCTGCAATTATCTACGCAATCATTGATAATGTCGATCTTTCACTTAGCAATAATCACATTGCAGCTTTGTATGGAACTGAGAGACGATCGGACGATTCTTCTGGTACTTTTGCACATTTATTTTTTTTTTTTTTTCCCTTTTATCATAATATTCTTTCTCATTATACCGCCTCGTCGTTGACGCGCAATTTCTTCACAAATCGATATTAATTCGCAAGAAAGATATTTACCATTCGAAAAGAGCGAGATTAATCCTTCGCGCGACTACGTCGCATCCACGAATGATATTACTACTTGATATAGAGGAAAGACTCCCCCCTCGCTCGCAGAACAACACTTACACACAAACATACACACACTTATCGCACGTGCGAAAAACACGCGCGGACACTTATTCACCCGCACCCATTTTACCCTGATGGCACGATATATGTTGTATATACATATATATATATATATACATATATATATATATATATACACATAGGTATGACATATACATGATAAATAACGGTAATGATAATTAGTGTATCGATATACGTGTAGCTATAAAACGATATGATAATTACTAGCGTGAGAGTGAGACGAAAGGGGAGCAAGAAGAGAGAGAGAGAGAGAGAGAGAGAGAAAGAGAGAAAGATTCATAGGAGAGTTATTTTCGGCAAAATAATAAAGAGAATGAGATTCATGAATGTAAAGAAAAGATGGAGAGAAAGATAGTACGAAAGGAGAATGAAAGTTATAGAGAGAGCGGGATAGTGAGAATAAAGCTATTAGTTTATTATTTTCTATATTTTTTTATGTAATTTTGCGGATATGCGATAATATATTATGACTTATTATTAATTATTATTATTATGAATATTTTAATATATAATATGATTTTCACATGACGTGTACTTATGTTTTCTTCCCTGTGTTCTGTGTCCGGTTGTTTAAAAGCTATGTTTGATTTATTTAGTTACGACAAAGATAAGCGAGTAAGTAAATTGAAATAATATCGCATATTACAGAATGCGTGAAAACGAAGGAAGGAAACAAAAATCAAACATGCGCGACTATTGCAACCCGACGATCCTATTTTGATATAATCATGTTTGTGATTATTACTATTATGTTCATTATTGTCTATTATTATTATCATTATTATTATTATTATTATTATTATTATTATTATTATTATTATTATTATTATTATTATCACTATTTTATTTTTATGATTACGATTTTATAACATATGATTACATTTATTATAACCGATATACCGATAGTATATAAATGGCATAGTGCATACCGATTATCATTATTGTCATTTGCGAATGTCTAAAGATAATGATTTATTGTTTTCGATAAGAAGCAGAAATACATATACAAACACGCGTACTAAACGCTACACTTGCACACACACTCTACCCAACAACTTATTAAAAAATCATATTTTATCCCGTAATATATTTTTGTCGAATTATTTTTTATATTAATATATATATACATATATATATATATACATATATATTATATTACGCAGAGCACCGTTTTTTATATTTTATATGTCTCTCTCCACGAGTTTGAGACGAGCGGCATGGCTTTTCACGAGAATCAATGAGAACGCCGCCGTCCACCATTGTCCTACTTCCGAAACATTTATTTTTGTACCGTACGACCCTTAAGTTTTTTTATAAATAACTAACGGCAAGATGCCACC